GCTCCGCGCCCTTCCACTCCCTCGTCCGCCCCGCCCTCCCCCCTGCCCGCTGCGCGGGCCGGCCGGCTCGTCGCCAGTTGTGAAGGGGGCCGGCACGGACGGCGCGCGGCCGCGCGAGCCCAGAGAAGAGAATGCCGATTATTTTAATGGTAGCCCCGCAGACGGTCCGCGCCTTGTTGCTTCGCCGCCGCCGCACGCCCCTTCGCCGCCGCGCCACCGCGGCGTCACGTGCTCGCACGCTATCCGCGCCCGCTCCCCCGGCCTTGTCGCGCCTCCCTCCTCCCCCCGCCCATCTAACTCACCCACTCCCCCACCAAGCACCGAACAACCACCACCACGCAAACCCACTCATCCATTAGCCCGCCCGCCCGCCCTTCCCTGCGAACAACACCCAACCCCACCCCCCCACGCCGCCCCACGCCGCCCCCCACGCCCGCCCCCACCCCCAACGCGCCCCCAGCGCACAAATTCCGCCCCATCTCGCCGCCCTCGCCCCCACCGAACCCCGCCACCCAATGCACCAACTTTCGCCACCCACTCGCACACTCCGCTTCACTCGCCCCCAATCGCACCACCTCGCCACCAACCTCGCACCACTCCCCACTCCCAGCGCAAGTCCTACGCCCCCATCCACCCACGACCACCATCTTGCCCAATTCGCCACCTCAGCTCCCCGCCACCCCCACCCACTCGCACCCATCCCCCACCCGCCACCCACCGCCACCCACCCACCACCCCATCACCCCCCACCCACCACGCCACCCACCCGCCACCACCGCCACCCACCCGCCACCCACCCGCCCACCCACCCCCCGCACCCACCCCCGCCCACCGCCACCACCGCCACCCACACCCGCTTCCTGCCCACCTGCCTACTCGCTACCCACCCACGCCTACCCGCCCGTCCTCTTCCTCTTTCTCCATCCACCTCTTGCACGACCTCCACCTCCAAAATCTCTGCCGGTGTAAAAGCGGGCGAGCAACCCTTGGTTATCATCAATAATAAATCCCGTTCTCTAACTCGGCTGCCTTTTCAAATTAAAAGCTGACTTGTCTAAATGACCGCACACGCATGTTTCCAGCATGTCGTTATGTCGCTTCAACACATTTAATCTTCATTACATGTGTGCTAAATCTTAATTATTTGCTTACCGTTTGCAGCGTTTTCCAGAGCACGAATTAGTCCAGAGCCAGCGACACCGGAGCTCAAAGTCTGGAAAACATCAACACGAAAAGTAAGTACTAGTCCTTATTACATTAACTGATAAATATTCATTAGGTTGTTCAACACATTGGAGAATAAATAAATATTTACGTATATAATAAGAAGGAATTAAAAATGTTTCATTAACACATCTGTTAGCATATATCGCAGCATTGTCATATTAATACTACTATCAATAAATGTTAGTTTTTAAACTACTTGGTTTAAAAACAACTTCTACCTCTGGATGTTTTTCAATATACACCAATATATTACGGAACAAACAAGTTTGCATTCAACATGAGTTACATTACTACATGAGTTAAACTAAGGATATATATGTAATATACCAGGCTAAAACTTTTTGTATGAAAAGGATGCTTATGTATATTTCACTTAAAAATCACATTTTATAATTGAAGGGGGAAATGAAGGATGTAATACATTACACTCCAGTTTACATTGAAATAAAAATAATTCGTCAAGGTAAATCGATTAAGTTGTGTTCGAAAACTGAAAAGTAAAACAATTCCAGTTTGATGTTTGTTTACTTTTCTCTGAACTGACATGACACGTGGTGATGGTGAAACATCTCTTCGTTAACACAATCAAATTTATTTCGTCTATAGTTAATAAATGAAATTTCAATTGCTGGAAACAATATTAGGGCAATGTTGAGTGGCGTGAATAAGAAAAGATCGGGAAAAAAGAAAAAGTGATACGGATCAAAAGATATGTTCAGTTCATTAAATCTTCGTATATTTATTTCCTTTGTAGAAACTAAAATTAAACTAAAAATTATAACGAAGTAAATATTCCTAGAATGTGTATTTCTGTAGAAAATGATAGTTATTAGCTAAAGTTTAATTTTTAGGCGTATAAATGGAGCAAACGGACTATATGCAGAGCTAATGAACAAACTACTTTTTACCTTTCAGCCGTGTAGTTAAGCGATATGTTTCTTTGGCCTATTTGGAAAGGCAACATTCGCGTTAGCAACGTAACTGCTGCTATTACAAGTGAAGGAGATGAGAAAGATAAAGATGTTATAAAACGCACGTTCTCGAAACAGCACAAGAAACTCGAGTAGAAACTCCTGGAGGATTGAGAGTTTGCAACGCGGCTGATGGTATCGCAGATGGGAATGTGTTTTATTATGCTCCGTATGGTTTATTACTGGCCATCCACACGTCTTCTGGACGTTGTTCACGACCAGTGTTAGCAAGATAACACCATCAACCATCTCGGCTGATTCCTTGTTCTCCGTCTTCACTTACACTAGCAATTTCATTAAGAACAAAAATGAATTCATTTACTTCGTGATTTATCGTGCATTAAATATGCGATGCATGTATTCAAAAGTGGCTTTAATAATTACAAAGGTTTGATGTCGAATAAAAATTTGTCTGGAGTAATACTTTAAACAGATTTCATTGAAAGAAACATAAAGATGATATTTTGTATTACGCAGTTTTGGTATAAATAATTTACATAGGTAAAATATACTGTTCCATATTACTTTTTTACAAAAATGAAGTGTACAGCCGTATTTCTGCATGAGACGCCACACTTCACATTACATTGAAATTTCAGATTTACGCGAGGATTCATTTGTAATGAAATGTCCATTTCTTTTTTTATCCGAATTTTAACAATGTTGATTTTCAGTATCCGACTTTCTTTTACGTGAACCAATGATATTGTTTTAACTTCCCCGCCCAGTGAAGTCTCTAGTACCATCATTATTCTTCAATAAACGTGATATTACAAAACATAATAACTTTCCCTCTAATTTTAACGGTCATTTAATTATGTTTTTCATTGAAATGTCACGAAATATGTAATCAGCAATTGTGTATTTTTACACTATTAATATGAAATATTTTCTTTCAAATTTATGTTATTGGATGGTACTCCAGAGATCAATATGTTGTCAAAATTGTAATGTAAGTTACTTAATTTCAAATGGTATTCTGAAACTCAAATTGTTTAATACTTGGCAACATTAATTCGAACTATAGTTATAATAATTGCCTTCAGAAGTATAAAATTTCGTAATCATCGATATTTTTAGTAATTCATTAGTTAGAGGGCACAACAGATGAAAATCAACGCACAAACACTTGTATGCACCTCAGGCTAAAAGTAATGTTTTTCGGATTCGCTCTTTTACCACCAAGTGGAAGTGGAGTGGACCTAACAGGAGTAAAAATCGCTTTCGATAAACATATTCGTTTTGCATTGACTGTTCCTCCCATGTCTGCTAACCTGAAGATCAATATGGGGCTCAGATCGCCCCATCTTCCAGCGGCAGAATCCCCAAGGTAGCACTCGTTCGTATGGTCAAATTGCCTTGTAGCACTCGTTCATATGGACACTTAACGCACGTGCGAGAACGAGGGTAATATGTAGTATGTGAAACTTTGTTCTAATAAATTTCTCACTTCATGTTCTTTGGCAAAAAGTGATCATTTTCGATCCTTCTTCATGCCTTAGAAGTTTGTTACATTTATTCTGAGACCCTGTGCATAACATCAGTGCCCTGTTGTGCACATAGTGATCAAATGTTCTTCTGCGGAGTCCAGTTGTGCATATTCGATGTGATATGACACTCACCTCTCAGAATATTTAATTTTATGCCGTGGTGTATGCAGTTAATACAATCCAAAATTTGTTTGAATGAATATTTTTGTAAATAATATTATTATGTTGTTTATCACATATGTAAATAAATATAATGTATTATCAGTTGCGGAAATGTGCTAATATATAACAATTTATAAGTGGAACGTGGTGTTATATTTTTCTATTTGCAGTTGTTTGTCAAAATGTGGAACAAGGATGTGGATTTTCAAATTCACGACAAGCCATGTGTATACTCATATGTAGACATTTGCTCTTGTATTTAGCGCCTGAGTGATGTTGCAAATTCGTCATTTGACGTGTAGTCTTATCCTGAGCGAGTTATGGTTAGGTTTAGAAATACACTGATGCAAGTCAACTCCCGCAGAACATATTTCCAACATTGGTGTCTATTTCTTTCCTAGAATATGTTTTGATGTAAAATTACAATGTGTTTGCATACAAATGAATTATTGTACGATTTATCATTGTCTGAAGTCACTGGCATAGTTAAATATGAGTTAACAGAAAATTCCGTAAAAAGTATTAACTGAAATCCTCGCAAACTGTAGAATTTAGATCTTTTTTTCTTTTTCTCAGAAGAAGTTTTCCTATTGAATAAATGGCGTGTATTTAACTCTTCTAGAAGTAAAAAGTGTTCTAATAATGTCGTGCTTGACAGTCAAGTTTTGGCGAATGTAAAATATAAACAACTGAAATTCTAACGTTGAAAGTTTAATTATCAGCAGATCATTACAAAAGAAATTTCATTTTTGGATTGTAAATACTTTAAAAAATTGAAACTAAATAGGATTTGTTGACGGGGTCTCTTTACATGAAGTTCACCTTTTGCATACTTGCCAATAGCGCGGTTGATAAAAATGACGACCTTACACCCAATTAAATAATCAATCACAGCGAAATACTTCGGTCACTTAACGAGAATAATATTGCAATAATATTACACGCCGGTCTTAAACAGTCAAGCCTCAGAAAATAAGACGATCCCGCGCTCTATTGAGGACTGGCGGTATTAGGCTCGATCGCGTGGGAGTCGAACAAGGCAAAACGGGCCTGGTTATTGAAAGTCGACCGCTGAGACGGCACAGAGCACTTTTTATCCCATGACGCGGTTGTTTATGCGGACAAAGGTTAGAAAAGCAGCGCGCGGCACGCGGGCCCGCCCGTCACAATGAGCCGAGGAAATTATTAGGTGCAATAACACTCATTCAAATATTGACAAAAGAAGAATGACCGTCGGAAACGTTCGAACAACGGCGCGCGCGCCCGAGGCCGAGGACGTCTGAGACCGGCGCTTTCCGAGCAGGAGGGGAGGGGGCAGGGCGGGACGGGACGGTCCGGAGTGGGACGGGGCTGAACCGGGCGGGACGGAGTGCGGACGGCGGGTAAAAAGGGCGGGGCCGAGACGCAGACGAGGGCGTGGACGGAAAGGAAGGGGGGACGCCGGCGGACGGGGGCATATAGCGGGACGCGCGGGACGGGCCGGACGGGCCGGCGACGGGACGGGACGGCGACGGAACGGGACGGGACGGGGCGGGGACGGAGGCGGGGGCGGGGCGGAGGGCGGGCGGGTGGGCGGGGGTGGGCAGGTCATGGGCGCGGCGGGAGCGGACGGCGACCGGTGGCGATAGCGTTCAAGCTGCAGAGGCGCGTGAGGGGTTAGAGAGCGCCAGGAGGCGCCAGGTTGATGGGAAGCGTTCCTCTTTTAAATAAATCATTTATTTCTCCTTGTCCAACATTATGTTACCAATTCCAGATTTAGTTATTGATTCGATGAACAACATAAGTGCCAATCAAACCATTATTATAAAACATTACAAGCCCGGTTCCGTATGGCACGAGATCGTTAAGCCAGTGGTGCCGAGCATCTGGGATCGATGGAAATCGCGGGTTTCAGGTCCGCATCGCGCATGTTGTAATTTGATCATCCTTTAATCACATATAATGATCATCTTCCTGTTACCATACCGTTAGATGCAATATTGCCGCTAAGGACCTATGTGTGCATGCGACCCTAAATAATCAAATTTTTAAAAAAAATTATTTACCGCCGGCTATATCGGCATAAACAGTTTCACCCACCCAAACTGGACTATTGACTCGTACAATACTGCGAGATCCAGGAGGTACACTCAGCCAGGAGGTAAATGCGAGAGAGGTACACTGCGAGATCCGGAGGATACACTCGGTCCAGGGACCACGCGATCCAAGGAGGATACACTGCCGCAAATCCAGTAGGAACATTGGATATCCGATGAACTTGCGAATATCCAGGAGGATACACTGCGATATCAGGAGGATAACACTCGACCGAGATCATGCAACAGCGAGATACACTGCGAGATTCCAGGAGTACACTGCGATGAATCCAGGAGGATACACTGCGATGATCCAGCGGAGGAACACTGCGATATTCCAGGAGGATACACACTGCACCGGGATACCATGGAGATCCACGCGAGATTCCCGGAGAGCAGGATACACTGCGAGATCCAGGAGGATACACTGCGGATCCAGGAGGATACATGCGAGATCAGGAGGTACACTGCGAGATCCAGGAGGATACACTGGAGACCGGAGACCTGCGACAGGAGGATACACTGCGAGATCCAGGAGGATACACTGGATCAGGAGGTCATTCGAATCCAGGAGGATAACACTGCGAGATCCAGGAGATACACTGCGAGATCCAGGGGATACACATGCGAGATCCAGGAGATACACTGCGAGATCCAGGAGGAAACAGCGGTGCCGAGAGGCATCGAATCAGGGGATACACTGCGAGATCAGGAGGATACCTGCGAGAGATCCCAGGGAGTTACACTGCGCAGTCCAGGCGGATAAACCGCGGATTAGCTGTTTTCTGCCCACGAGGAAACTCGCCAAGATCTTAGCAAGGTAAAACTGTCGCATATCCCGAAACGATATTTGACTCTTACTCACAGTTTCTTCAAACGGACGTTGAGACAGCTGGTTGTGCACGTCGGCAGGGCAGATGAGAAGAAGGGTCCGAAATCAGCGCCGGTTTCACCCTCTGCCGAGACGCAACAAAAGTTACCCCAAACAGAGCCCCGCGGAGGCGCCCCGCCGCGCGCTGGCACACTTTCGCTTCTTTTCCTTGGGTTGGCCCTCGCCCCAAGCCGCCCTGCCTCCCCCCGCACGCCACGGGAGACCCTCGCAGCCGCCTCTCAAGCTCCCCCCTCGAGGGGAATCTCGACGGCACTCGCTCTCGGTTAGACCACGCGACAGAGCAACCCAACAGGGAGCCTCATTTCAATTGCGTCCATGTAGCCCCTTCACATAGTGTCGGTGCACTAGAAAGAAACACTCTCCAAAAAATCGATTATTTTTTAAGTTCCATAGAGAAAATATATTGTTCCCTAAGAGTTTTACCAAGTACAAATTTTGTAATGGCTGGTCCGAACAGAAACAGCGGAGATATTGGGAGTAAAATGAGCGTTTGTCATCGGAAGTAAGTGTGAAGGGACATTGATTGAAAACCTTTTGCTTCCCCTTCAAAAAGGAGGGAAAATTTGCGATATATTTGTTCTTTTTTTTTTACAAACTTTACAGGTGCAGTCCGAGTAATTTATGTTTCTGAATTTTGGAAAAAACATTTGGTGGATTAGGGGAATGATTAAATCCGAATGATTTTTGTGAATGTCGAGATTAAAAAACCCGCAACCCACCAAATTTGGTTAACAAACGTCTCCTTTTCTTCTATATGTGTTCCTCAGTAAATATACTGTCTACGGCAAATCAGAATTACCGAACGAGGCCTAACACTAGATCTGCTGAAAACAGGATGAAAAACTCCACGCCTAGGATGATAATTTATGTACGGTGTTCACACGGTTACTGTATAGGTACTTTATGCACGGCTTAGCGCTACAGCCAATTGATCCATTATCACGACCACGTTTGATCATTTGCACAAGCGCAACCCGGACCTGCTCATGCGCAGAAGGTCGATGTTGCCTTTCGATTACTCTAAGCTCAAGAAAACTGCTTAATATTAAAAAGACCAAATGTTTCTAAATATAATTTAATACCGCTACCATATCACCCAAAAAGGATATCTTCTCCTCTCTCTCCTCTCTTTTCTCTCTCTCTCTTTTCTCCTCTCTTTTCTCTCTCTCTCTTTTCTCTCTCTCTCTTTTCTTTCTCTCTCTTTCTCTCTCTCTCTTTTCTCTCTCTCTCTCTTTTTCTCTCTCTCTTTTCTCTCTCTCTCTCTTTTCTACTCTCGTCTCTTTTCCTCTGTTTCTCTCGCCTCTCTTCCTCTCTTCTTCTCTCTCTCTCTCTTTTCTCTCTCTCTCTCTTCTCTCTCTTCTCTCTTTTCTCTCTCTCTTTTC